TTCACTCCTCAAGTGGCTGCAACAGCTAGAGCTGAGCTGATTTGAAGCCAGGAGCCAGGTGTTCTGGGTCTCCCACAGGGATGCAGGGTCCCAAGGTTTTGGGCTGTCTTCTATTGCTTTCCCGGGCCACAAATAGGGAGCTGAAAGGGAAGTGAAACTGCTGGGATATGAACTGGTGCCCATCTGGGATCCCAGCGCATATAAGGTGAAGACTTCAGCCAGTAGGCTACCATCCTGGACCTGAGGAAAAATTCTTTTTTGTGTATGTTGGTTTCTATTTTAAAGGGTTTGATTTATTTGTTTGAAAGGTGGAATTATGGAGAGAGGGGGAGGAAAAGAAGGAGAGGGAAAAGAGAGAGAGAGGAGAGAGAAGAGAGAGAACAAATGAATTTCCTAAGCGTTTGCAAAGCCAGGGCTGGAGGCAGGCCGAGGCCAAAACCCTGGAATTCCATCCTGATTTCCTGTGAGGGCAGCAGGGCCCATATTTTCAGGATATCTTCCCTTGCTTTTCCAGACACATTAACATGCAGCTGTATTACAAGTGGACAAACTAGCTCTGAAATTTGTGCTCATATGGGATGTTGGCAACCCGGTAGCAACTTAATCTGTTTTCTTGGAATGAAGCATTGTCTCTGGGCCTTCATTTCCTCGTACACATTGTTAGGGTAATGGTGACATCTATGAAATATTTCACAAAGTGAACATCATGAACACAAGGATAGAGTGTGTGAGTTTCAAATTTTTTAATTTGAGTTTTTTAATTTTTCTTTTTCGTGATATAGTTCCATAGGGTCAGATATATCTGCCCACCCTCCCCCAACTTTCTTCTATAACAACAATATAGCCCTTCAACAACAGTCACAAGTCCATCTTCTATTTAAGTGCATCATAATATAGACAATAGTATGAACAAGAGTAGAGAGTCCAGCATATTTAGCAGTTTCATTGGGAATTCATCTTTTATTCAGAAGTAGAGTAGCATACTGTGATGTATCTCCATTTCATAGTATACATGCCTCCATTATACAGATTATCTAAATAAATGTATGTATATACATGTTCACATATATATATCTTAAATTTTGCATAACGATTGCCTTATATCAGAAGGCCATGTGGTGTCTGTCCTTTGAGGATTCGCTTATTTTACTGAGCACAATGGCCTCTAGTTAGGACCATTTTCTTGCAATGGTAGAATTTCACTCTTTGTAATGGCTGAGTAATATTCCATGGAAAAAATATATCAGTTTCTTTATCCACTCCTCTTTTGATGGATATCTGGGTTGCTTCCATGTCTTTGCTATTATAGATTGTGCTGCTTTATAGGATTACATGTCACTTTTTCATGTGCAGATTTCATCTGTGGATGTGGGGAGAAAAGTACCCTACTTCACTGTTGGTGAACGTTTAGGTTAGTACGACCACTATTGTTAAAGTCAGTATGAAAACTGAAAATTGATCTACCATATGACCCAGCTATCTCACTTTTGGGACTATATAAAGGTTATGAAGTCTGTTTAGCAGGTTTTTAAAAAAAATTATTATCATTTTTTTTCCTGATTGGAAAAGTTGACTAGATAGGTTTTCTCTTAGTATCCCAGGGAAATGCTCCCCTTACTGAGCAGAAATCAGCAAAACTGTAAATATATTAGAAACAATATTTCCAGTTTTTGCTTTCATTTATCTGTTTTTCCTCACTATGTTATAGGCTGGCACACTCATTATTTAAATTTAAGCAATGTCTACCACCCATACCACTATCCCTGTGAGTCAAGTGAGAAGACAAAGGACTTGTATTAATTTGAATGAAGTACTCCTAAGAATGGGCTTTTAAATATAAATACCATGTTTACTGGTTATTTGATGGTGCTACCACTTTTTTTAAGATTTATTTTTTCTTTTATTGGGAGGGCAGATGTACAGAGAGGAGGAGAGACAGAGAGGAAAATCTTCCAACCGATGATTCACTCCCCAAGTGGCTGCAATGGCCGGTGCTGCACCGATCCAAAACCAGGAGCCAGGAATTTCTTTTCGGGTCTTGCATGCGGATGTAGGGTCCCAAGGCTCTGGGCCATCCTCGACTGCTTTCCCAGGCCACAAGCAGGGAGCTGGATGGGAAGTGGAGCAGCCGGGATTAGAAATGGCACCCATATGGGATCCTGATGTGTTCAAGATGAGGACCTTAACCATTACACTATCACGCTGGGCCCAGTGCTACCACTTTTAATATTCTGTGTTTTCAAATATATTTCAGGTATTGATTAAACTCTATGATTTCTAAACAGTTTGAGTTCTTTCCTGTGAGAACTATCACAGTAGCTACAGAACTGTGGGAATTAAATCTGAGGTTCATTAGCTGCTGACAAGTTAGGTGGAGTTTGGATGAGGCTTTAATTGTCCTTTGCAGAGAGATCCAACCTATTGAATGTGGGGGCATCCTTGCAAGCTTGATACTGGCTACTGATGGATGCTATTAAGCTTTATGTATCTTAGTTAAACCTTTTATGTTTGCATATATACCATTAGGCAATTTAATCCTAAAATATGCAAATGGATAAGTTAAAAAGGCACAAAAGTAAAAATGATAATACATAAAATATATATAAGTGCACGTTCTCCTAAACAGAACCCAAATAAAGACAACAAAAGAGACTATTTAAAATGGGATTTTATAGCTTGATCTGAAGAACCACCTCGTCATCTCACTGTTTTTCTGTTTGTTTGTTTTTTAATTTATAACTTTAGGGGTATACATTTTTTAAAATTTATTTTTACTTCTTTTAAAATTATTATAGTCGTTCTATGTAAGGTTCCATGGGTTCTGGGATTTCCCCTGCCCCCCTCCGCAAATCCCCTCCCCACCACTGAATTCCCCTATAATATTACTATAGCATAGTTCTGCATAAATAGTCACATGTTCATAACTGCAGGCATGGACAATGGCAGAGTCCAACATCCTATTGTCAAGATACAGCTAACAGTTTCATTGGGAGTCCATCTTTGATCTGAAAATAGAGATGCATACTGCACTGTATCCTCACATCTGGACATGATAGTCTCCATTACATAGTCACCACACATTGCCTTAAATGAAAAGCCACAATACAAAATCAAAAACAGGAAGAAAAGTAGAAATTTACAACACCATGAATTTCTCAAGAAATTTTGATAGTTTAACAGTCCTGAATTGCTGGTGGTCTCACCACTGCAATTGCAATGAAATCTCTCTCGAATCCACTGGCTGCTAGAGTCCATCTTAGAGTCTCCATCTGCCCGGACTTTCACTGCCAATGCTTGGGGTAGTTGATCAATTTGTTCTGTCCTCCGTCCTCTGCCATGGTACCTATCAGGTGTCCTCTAGAGGCTCCAATGTACTGCCATATCCTCCATGTACATTTGGATCTGCTGCGCACTGCTCTGTCTGAGCCACTAAGGAGGCCTAGCTCTGATGCATGGTCAGACCATGGAATCTGCAATTCTTTCGATGATTGGGGTTCTGAGTCCAGTGGTTCAGTTCATAGGGCTTCACCAAGGAAACCTCATATGAGGCCATCCCCGATCTGATTCTTTGCTTTTTAAAAAGATTCATTTTATTTTTTGTTGCAAAGTCAGATATACAGAGAAGAAGAGAGTTAGAGAGGAAGATCTTCCATCTGATGGTTCGCTCCCCAAGTGAGCGTTAATGGCCATTGTTGCACTGACCGGAAGCCAGGAGCCCAGAGCCCGGAGGTTCATCTGGGTTTCCCACGCAGGTGAAGGGTCCCAAGGCTTTGGGCCATTCTAGACTGCTTTTCCAGGCCACAAGCAGGGAGCTGGATTGGAAACGGAGCAACTGGGGTTAGAACTAGTGCCTATATGGGATCCCCGTGCTTTAAAAGCTAGGACTTTAGCCTCTAGGCCACATCGCCAGGGTCTCAGACATGATTCTTGTATGTGTTTGGCAATACAGGGTCAGGCATAGTCTGTCACCCAAATCAGCCTATGCACACACTGAAAGTTGTAATTGCTGGGTCAGTTCTGTCTCCAGCCCTGCGTTTTACATATACCAATGGGTGTTGGAGTGCCACCACATACTCAGCCTTCACGCAAACCAGTGGATGCTCCAGCCTAGTCAGAGCAACTGCAAAAACTCTCACCAGGCCCCCCTTCTGCCCTTGTTCCCATGCTTGCCAGTATGTACAGCAGATTGGTCCCGTCTGTCCCACATTCCATTCAGCTCTTGTAGATGTTAATGGGCATTGAAGCCTAGTTCATCCCAACCAGCCCCACTATCCAGTCCACACTGGTGCCAGCAGGTGCCACCTTCTGTCTAAGACATACCTGCACCTGGCAAAATTTGGCCGCTGTGCCAACATCTGGCAACTGGTGCTGTGGTAAAGCCCAACAACCCACACTGGCTTATACATGTACCAGAAGGTGCAGTCAGCCCAGCCTGGCTTTTCCATGACCCAGCTCATATGTAAGCCATCAGATATTGTGGCCCTTCTCGGCCTAGTCTGCCTCCATCCCAGCTCTCATGCTCACCAGTGTGTGTAATATAGCAGCAGGGCGTCCCCACAGCACCCCATCCCTGGGTCTGTCCTTCCCCCAACCCGAGTTTCACATGTGCTGGTTGGGTACAGCAGCCCAGTCTGGCACAGCCAGTGTCACCTTGGCATTTTCCAGTGGTTGCTGTAGTCTGGCCAGGCCACACCAGGCCCAAGCCCAATTCCAACTCATGCTCACTAGGGCTACAGCCTAGCCCAGCTCAGCCAGTCCCCAGTCCTGGTTCTCATGTGGACTGGCTGGTAGTGAGCACTGACCTGGCCTAACCCACATTCCATTCTGGCACTTGGATTTGCCAGCAGATGATAGGGACTGACCTAGCCTGGCCTGCCCAGCCCTGTGCCAAATATATGTTGGTGGGTACCATATTTTGGCCTCATCTGAACTGCTCCCTGCCTTGTTCTTGCATTTACCTGCAGGGAATATGTCTCGACAGGAGTTCTCCAAGCTCCTCCATCAAGTTCTCTCCCAATGCCAAATCTCACGCACACTGGTTGGTCCATGGGCCAGGCCTACGTAGTCCACCTCCTGTCCCACAGGAACAGTGGCTTTCCTAGCTGCCCTCCCCCATTCTGGCTCTTGTTGTCAGGTGCTTCAGCCCAGCCAAGCCTGGTTAACACCCAGACGCATCTGACGCATGGCTCAGCAGAGGCAGAGACCTAAACTAGCCTATTCTACACCTACCCTGGTTCTCATAAGCACCAGTGGATGCTGCAGTCTAGCCCAGCCTTGCACATCCCAGACCCAGCCGACACACATGCTGAGGGATCCTGCAGCCATATCAGGACCAGACTGTGGCACCCACCCTGGCCCTCACGCTCACCAGTGGGAATCACTACCTGGTCAGGACATCCCCTTTTATCTCCAACCAGGTCTGTTCCCATCCACAGATCTCACGTGTGCCAGTGGTTGCTCTGAACAGCCTGGTGTAACCCCTTATGTGTCTGAGCCTTTGCCTTTGGATGTTGCAAGCTGACCTGATATAGCCAGCCCCCAGTCCCAACTCTCACTGGCAGGTGCTGGAACCTAGCCCTGCTCAGTCTGCTTCCATCACTGACTCAAGTAATCCAGTAGGTGTGATACCCTAGCCCAGTATGATTTTCACACTAGCCTAGTTTTTGCACTTGCCAGTGGGCTAAGGTCTGCTCAGCCCTGCCTGGTCTGCCTCCTTCCAAAACAAACGCACACATTTGCCAACGGATGGGGTTACCTTGCCCAGCTGCCCAACCCCTAGGTCTGGAACACACATTCATCAGTGGGAGCTATGGCCCCTTAGGGGAATTTCCCAGGTTCCCCCACTCAGCCCACTCCCAGACCCAGTTCTCACATGCTCTAGTAGGTGCTAAGCCTGTACCTGCCACAACCTGCCCTTCCATCTTGGCCTTTGTATGAGCTGGTGGATGTTGCGGGCTGGCCCACCCCACAACCCATTTTAGGATGCACATGCAGGTGCTGCAGCTTGGACCTGCCCAGCCTATTCTCAGTCCCAGTACCTGTGAGTGTTGGTGGGTTCCATGTTCACAACTAGTTCAGCCCATCACCACCCCAACTCTAGAGCTAACCAGCGGGACTTGTATTTCCTTAGTGTTGGGCCCAATTACCCCAGCAGAATCTACCCCTGGACCTGGTTCTCTCATGTGCTGGTTAGTGTCATGACCCTGTCTAATATGACCTGTCACCTGTTTCAATACTTAGTCAGGTACTGGTATCTAGCTCAGCCAGACAGGCCCCCAGCCATAGCTTTTGTGTGATCTGGCATGCGGTGGACAGCGATACACTAAGCTAACAAGTCCTTCTTGGGACTCCCATGTGGGCTGGTGAATCAGTCTGACCCAAACAGATCTCCCAGTCTTTCTCCTTCATACCACCAGGTCTCAGACCCCTCACTTACTGGCAAGTATAGTGGTCCTTTTGTTAGGAGTCCCTCAAAATTCATTCCTCACTTACACGTATGATGTCCATATCCATGGATGTCCCTAGGCAATAATTTGTCACCCCTAAGGCCCCAGCGGGCAAAGCTGGTGCCGAATGGGTGCTGGAAGCCTAAATGAAGATGGTGCTGGCTGCATTTTAAGCAGTCGGAGGTGGGCCGCAACCTCTGCTAATCAGCCGAAAGTGGCCTATGAAGTGGAGGTTCCACTCTACATGCCTAGCCTGCTCGGGGTGTATTTTTTTCTTAGAATTATGTTTCCACTATCATCCCACAGTCAGTAGTGTGGCAAGTTGTTATTCCTAAATGAGCAACATTTCTTCCTAGATAGTGGTGATGTAGAGAATTTTCTAGGATGACAAAGGAGGAGAGGGACAGATAGGAAGTTTCTTACAACTAAAATAGTGTGTTTTTTAGGTGGAATATCCCAAATTTAAAAGAAATATAACAAAAGAATAATTTGATTTTAAAGAAAACAATACTATTATTAAAATCTTTAGTAAAAAGCTAAAAAAAAATAAAAAGAAAGGTGGAAAGGCAGACTTACAGAGAGAAGGAGAGACAGAAAGAGTTGTCTGCTGGATCCCTCCCCAAGTGGCTGCAACTGCCAAAGCTGAGCTGATCTGAAGCCAGGAGCCAGGAATTTCCTCTAGGTCTCCCATAAATGAGCAGGGTTCCAAGGCTTTGGGCTGTCTTCTACCGTGCTCCCAGGCCTCAAGTAGGGAGCTGGAAGGGAGCTGGAGCAGTTGGAACATGAACCAGTGCCCTTATGGAATCATGGTGCATGCAAGAGATTTCAGACACTGAGCCATTATGCCAGGACTGAAAAAAGTTTGTTACTAGTGAAACACAGACTCAGAGTGATTTTTTCAGTGTGTATTTATACATTTTACCTTTTTATTTATTCTAAACTTTATTCTTTGACAACAAAATATGCTTTTTGAATATGCTTACTTATAAATTTAAATAGTAAACATTTTTCTGATGGCACACACACAAACCCAGTTTAAAAAAGTGAACAACACATCTGTCACTCGTGAGCATTACTGTATGTACAATAATTGATGTAGTGTGACAAAATTATCTGTTGATTGTAGTGGAGACCTGGGGTTACTTGCTATTCAAATAGCTTTCTCTTATCTATGCAGGTCAGACAAGGCCCTTGCCTCTGTTAAATCAGAAAGACTCATGTTCCTCATTTACAAGTTTCCTTTTTAGTTTGTCTCTGTTTTTGTAAATCATTGAATTCATCATGAAGAGTCAGCCTCAGTTAGCCCAGTTCTAGATACTAAATGTTCAATAGAATAATGAAATTGCATTTCAAATATATTACAAGTTTTCATTCAATTATTGGCCTAAACTAGAAAGATTTTCCAATGTGTGCTAAAGAAAATGTTTGATTTATAGGTGCCATTAGTTTATGAGAAGAAAGACTCTAAAAAACCAAAAAATTAACAGAATTTTTTGAATAAATGATTCAAGAGTTAGAACTAAAAGGGATTCAAAAATCTTTGCATAGCAATGTTGAGAAGAGAGCTTTTATTGGCCTCATATGAGCATGAAACAAAGTTAAGAAATCGTCTGATGGCTACAACTGAGCTACGCCGTATTTGTGCATGTTGTGATGAGTGATTTGTCGTCTCTGAATCTAGTCTGTTCAGTCCACTGTCTATAATTTCCTGAAACAGAACTGTTTATTACAAATAATAATATACTTGCAATTCGATTTTGGATTGTTTATGTTTTGAATTAAGTTGCAATGTGTTATTTAGGAAGCAAAAACAGGGGTCAATCACAGCCTTAGGCTGATGCCTTCTGGCTTATTATGGTTACTAAGTTTTTCTGCAATTAACCTCACTTTTCTTAAGTTTTATTTTATGGATGAATGGAACTGTTAGAGTTATAAAATCTGATTTTTGTGTAATTGAGATGTGCTTTTATTTATTTGTGTTCAGCTCTTAGAAACATGGTAAATAACCACTGTGTGATTACGACTCTAAACAGAATAAAACATCCTTCAAATGCACTTTTTAGGTCTCTAATTACCAATTGGTAATACTTTTTTAAAGTAAGATTTATTTATTTGTATTAGAACACAGGTGTACAGAGAGAGAGATAGAGAAAGATCTTCTATCTGTTGACTCACTGTGCAGGTGACTTCAATGGCCAGAGCTGAGCTGATCCAAAGCCAGGAGCCAGGCACTTCTGAGTCTTCCATGTGGGTTCAGGGTTCCAAGGTTTTGGATCATCCTCTGTTTCGTTCCGAGGGAGGAAGAAGGGAGTTGAAAAGGAAGTGGAGCAGCCAGGGTACAAACTGGTGCTTGTGTAGGATCCTGGCATTTCAAGGGGAGGCTTAGAAACTTGAACCATTGCACCATTACCCACCTCCTCCAGTGATAATATTTGACTGTGTGATAATCTTTTGGGTGACCATAACTTAATTGCTGTCAATTTATTTTCCAAATGTTCTCTTACCAACATATTTTAGTTTACTAAATCATTAGGCTTTTTTTGTAGTAAATATGGGGCTCAATTTTGACTGAAGCCTTCAGTGACATCACTATAGTATCTTCTTTAGTCAAACTTTGACTACAATAAAACATTTAAAGTGTTCAAAAAAAATACTGTCTCAACTCAGTACAGTGACCTAGTGGCTAAAGTCCTTGCCTTGAATGTGCTGGAATCCCATATGGGCGCCGTTTCAAATCCTGGCAGTCTTACTTCCCCATCCAGCTCCCTGTTTGTGGCCTGGGAAAGCAGTGGGAGACGGGCCAAAGTCTTGGGATGCTGCACCCACATGAGAGACCTGTAGAAAGTTGATGGCTCCTGCCATCAGATAGGTACAGCACTGGCTGTTGTGAGGAGTGAATTATCAGATGGAAGATCTTCCTCTCTGTCTCTTTTCTCTGTGTATCTGACTTTGCAATAAAAAATAAAATAAATCTTTAAAAAATAATGTCTCATTTGGATTGATAATTTGATACATGAATTTTCAGGTGTATTTTTAGAGGTATTATACAAGGGATTTTGTGAATGTAGAGATATATGCATTCAACTTTGCAAAATGTAAATATCTATCTGGGAGCAAGTGTTTTATGTAATGGGATAATCCACTGCTTAGTTTACTTGCATCCCATATCACAGTTCCAAGGATTAGGTCCTGCCTTTAATTCCAATCCAGTCTCCTTATAACAGGTTCCCTGGGAGGTGGTAACCCAGGGTCTTGAGGTTATTGTCACCCCTGTGGGAGATCAGTACATAGTACCTAGCTCTAGGCTCAGCCTTGAGCATCCTTTTTTTTTTTTTTTTTTTTTTCATTTTATGACACAGTGTCATTGGCTCTGGGATTCCAAAAAGCCCTCCCCCCCATATTAAATTCCTCTATATTGTTGCAGTAATACAGTTCATATCCAGTCATGATTCATTCATTGTGGGCATGGACCATGTAGAAAATTCTGCATCTTACTGTCCAGATAAATTCAACAGTTTTGTTGGGAGACCATCCCTGGTCTGAAAAAATAGAGCTGGCAGAATATCATCCCCTCCAATGAAAAGCCACAACACAACTTCAAAAACAATTTACAAAATCATGAAGTTAATTGATAAGGCATTGA